GACGTTGTCCTTATTGCGGGGCGCATGCGCCACGGATCGCGTCCGCTCCGGGCGTGTTAGTTCCTTGCCCGCTGGGTACGCCCTCTTGGGGGCTGTCCCCGCTGGGGCCCCAGTGCCCGCCTTGGGCCCCGCCTTCGGCTGGGGCCCAGCCCCCGCCTTGGGCCTGTCATCCCCCTGCGCCGTGGGCCGGGGATCGCCCATTTCCTCGCTCCCTCCCGCTTTGGGCGGTCGCTTCGTGAGGTGGGCGTTCAGCTGCCCATTGAGGAGGCGCGTGAGCGCGGCCTTGCGCCGGGGCACGACCACCTGCTGGTAATAGGCGTTCGGGTCCCCGAGGTCGAATGTTCGGGGCAAATCGTAGCCGTTCTCCGGCATGAGTAGGATGTACTTGATGTCCTCCCTCCTCGGGTTCTCGGTGTCGAGCTCTCGGCAGAGCCGACGCCTCAGCTCCCGTAACTCCTCGACCCAGGTGCTTCGGAGCTCTTCCCACAGATCCTTGACCCAATGGTCTGGGAACTCCGATGGGTCCCTCTCGAAGGCCGCCTCCAAGAACCCTAACGACCGCCGTCGCTCCGCCCCGTGTGCGACCCCTATGATGGACTCGAACATCTGGATCTCGCACCGGGCCCTCTTGAACCAGGTCGCCATGTGAGTGGCGGGCCGTTGGCGGGGCTCCAGCTTGTCGTCCACAGGGAGCCGATAGCCATCGAAGTCCTCATCACGCGCGGGGACGCAGTCGTCCACCGCCAGGTCGTGTGGGCCCGTCCCGAAGGCGAGCGCCGCGTAGCCGTGTGCCACACGGTTGGTAACCAGGCAGGGAAACCCGATCGTCTTGAGCGTGCTCTTGGAGTGCGCACACATGCGCTTGAGAGAGTCGAACAAGTCCTTCCCCGTGATCCCCTCGCAGGCCTCAACCACGAAGGTGTTGCATCCCCGGGCTATGAAAAGATCAAGTTCCTCGTCCCGACCGATCCCTGCCCTGGTGCCCCGGGCCTTCTTGTCGCCCTCGGTGGCCCGCGCCTGCCGCTCGGCGGCGAGGACGTGCCGTTCAGTGAGGCGGTTCTGGCGATCCAGGCGCTCGATGATCTGGGCTTCGGCCTCGACTGTAAGCCCGCCCAGGGCGCCCGCCGCCCCGGCGTCGTCTGGACCCCCAGCTCGCTCCCCACCCAGGCCGCCCCCGTGGGGCGTCTGGCCAGTGAGGTGGCCATGGACCGAGGCCCCGTCGAGGAGCGGATTGGCCCCACGAGCGGCCCCCCCGCGTCCATCGCGTGCCAGCAGGTCCCGATCACCCAGCAAGCCCCGTCGTGGGCCCGTGGGTTGGATGGGGGGCATGGCACCGAAGAGCTCGCGTCGGGGTCCCTGCTTCGGGCTGGGATCCCGTCCCCGCGCCGAGCGACTCCGCGACCCCTCACGTGAGAGGCCCCCCTGCAGGGGAACCTTGTCGGCGGCCGCAGCACGCTCCCGCGCGCGCTTCCAGCTGCGCATCCTCCAAATCCGCGAGGGCGCGCTCTAGGTCGGACCCCAGTGGGCCCGCCGCTGACACCTGTGCGACCCTCCGCCGCAGCTGCCGCTCCGCCTGATCAAGCGGAACCCCGAGCAAGTCCGCGGTCATACCTAATGCACTGAGAGCCGCCGCTTGGCCCCCCCGTCCTTTGAGATCCTCGGCTCGCAAGGAATCCATGAACATTTCGAGTGGGTCGGGCTCCTCAGCATCCTCGCTCACGCCGGCGGCGGCCGCCGCTAAGCGCGACGGTGCCGCCGCGGGGGCGGGACGGGGCAAGCCCTCCATGCCGGGCGCAGGCGGCGCCCCCTGCGCGCCGCCCCGCCGATGGTGGCCGAGTGTGCGCACCGGGTCGTGCTGCAGCTGCTGGCGCTCCGTGTTCGTCAGGTAGCGCCGCCTCCACCCGCTCGCGCTTTCCACGTCCACACCGCCCCACTGCTCCTGGCGTAACATCGCCAGCAGATCCTGCGGGATGTGGTGGGCGATGACACGCAACCCCACTTCCCGAGCCCCGTGGGGGACCTCGTACAGCAGCCGATTGATCCAATCTATCGGGTAGCGCCCGTCCTCCAGCGGGGGGGGGTGCCGTACGACCTCGCTGGCTGGGACCTCCACCCTGACGCCCTCGAGGCTAGTCCCGATGATAAGTCTGGCGTCCCCGCCAGTGCCCCGTACGTCGAGCCCCTTGCATTCCCCCAATAGAATAAACCAAGGACTCGCCGGGGGCGCGCCGTACGCCTCCTCGGCTCCCCGAGGGTCGCCCGGGAGTATCGGGCAGACCTTCACGAGTAGGGGCTCCTGAATCCACCCGTGGTGGGCGATCCGATCGCCCGGGGCCCCGCGGTCGGCAGACCGTGAGCGTCCGCTGGCCCTTGCTTCCGCGGAGCGTGTGCGACGCGGCTGCGGCCCAGAGGTTAGGGCCTGCGCCCCCGTGGGCTCCGCATCAACAGATGGGGCCACGGCGGGCGGTGGCGGTGCAGCGGGGGGAGGTAGAGGCGGGGGGTAGACCGGCCCGGGCGCAATGCCAACCCCATCGGCAGCGTGCGCGGTCCAATCGCGCGCCCTGGCGGGGCTTGGAGCCCGCGCCCGCATACGGCGGCGCAGGCCCCCGAGGATCCCAGGTTGGACCGTCGCCTCGACGCGCACGGTGTGACCCTCGTCCCGTCGGAGATGTTCCCCGCACATCGGGGCCCCCCCGCAGCTGCCCTTCGCCATGCGGAGACAAGTGGGGAGGCTGCACTTGCGGCCGATCAGGGTAGACCGATACTTCTGCGCATGGTGGGCGCAGAGGTGCACCTGTGCATTGAGACAATGCCCCGGCCGGGGAACGTCCGACACCTCCGCGTCCACCTGTAGCAGGACAGTGGCCTCCTGCATCCCTCGGTCGCCGCACCCCTCCGGCTGGAGGGGGCGTGCGCCACCCGCGAGCTGCACCCCAACTTGTGCGGCTTGGCAGGGGCGCTCCTCCGCCTCCACCTCGCTCTCCGAATCGATGTCCAGGCGGCGATAGCCCGTGGCGTCGGTGATGTAGCGGGGCCCCGGCCGGCCCCGGCACAGCCATCCGAGAACCGACCAGGGTGAGCAAAGCAGCCACTTGACGACCCCGAATACCTTCCGGAGTCCCACGCCGACTGCCCGGCAGGCTGTGGCCTTACCGTGCTCAGCCAAGTCCACGATCTGTGTGTGGTCAATGGCCGCGTACTGTCGACGTGCATGGGATGCGCCACTGGACAGGAGGCGCACTCGACAGCACGACATAGATGCACATTCCCTGTCTCCTCGAGGTTCAGCCGCCACTTGCGACTGGTGCACCCCAGGACCTGCCCGATCTTGATGTTGAGCCCGTGGCGGTCCAATCGGTACCGGTCCGCAAAGTTGCAGCTGATGCGGGCCACCTGCCCGTGCTTACGCAGCAGCACGTGGTTGTACGCCCGATTGGTCCCTCGGCCGCGGACCCCCTTTGTGTAGAACTCTGTCTCCACCACGCCGCCCAAGCCCGGCCCGCGCCAGCGCACCAGCAAGGGGGTCGGAGGGGGTGGGGGAAGATGGGCGCCGGGCCCATCCCCTCCGCGTCGCTGGCAGCACCGGGTAATCTGGTACCACGCCCAGCGGAGTCCCCCGGCAGCCCACAGCATAGGCTGGGCTGCGGTGTTGACGATGAAGGCCAGGGCACCCAACACGAACGTGAAGATGCCTAGGGCAAAGCATAGGACCGCGGTCTCCCACCAGTACCCCAGCATCTTAACGCCCAGGCGGTCGACGGCGGATCCAATCCATCCGCCACTCGTGCGGATCGTGCCCGGGTGGTCGGGGGAGCTTACCCACGCTCCATAGCCCACGAACTCGAAGACCCAGGCTGCGAAGCCCCAACCGGGACCCGGCCCCGCCTCCGGGGGCGGGGTAGGGGGCGGCGGCGGCGGTGGGGGTTCGTTCCGGCCAGCCCACCAATGGGGCAGGTGCGGGACCCAACCACTCCACCCCCAATACCCGTCCAGCCCCCGCGGCAGGTCAGGCTCACCATCGCCTGTCCGGTTCCCCGGGGCGGACGGCTGCCCAGGCGCGCCCGTGGGCTCGTTGTTACCTCCGTATGCCGGCGTAGCTGGGCTGCCCATGGGCTCGCCCTCGCCTACGCGCCCGATGCCCGCGGCCGTGGTCGTTGTAGTCGACCCTGACCGCGGCGGCGGTGGGACGCCCGGCGTCCCCGGGGGCTTGGCCTGCGGCCCTCGCCCCTTTCCCCCTGCAGGCGCGGGTTTGGCGGGCGGTCCTCGCCCCTTGCCTCGCCCCCCACCGCCTGCCGGCGGCGCTGTCGGCCCGGGCAGGGCTGGCGGCGTCGGCGCTGGGACCTCATGTCCCCCGCGCCCGAATGGCAGCCAGCCAAGTGCCCCTTGGACCGTAAGAGCGCCGCCCGTCACCAAGATCATCAGGTGCGCCCCCAGGAAGCCCACAGCCATGGCACCACAGGCGCGCTACCTAGTCCGCGGACTAGCACGGCTGTGGTTATGGCCGCCCCGCGGCCCCCTGGAACACCCGCGCGTCGGCCAGAGCCGAACGCTACGGACCCAAAATGGCTACCTGAGCCCACACCCCCTCCCACTTAACCTGCAGTCTACAACCAATCAGACTATACAATCGGCGGATCTGGAGTCAGGGTGGTCCTTTCTGAGGGGGCTCCATTCCTTCTGCGGCCGCACTCCTCGTATCTCTTCCGCCCGCGCGACGCCACACTCGGCCCCCTCCTGCTCGGGCGCCACTGGGCAAGCGACGACAATGACCACGACCACGACCACGAACACGACCACGAACACGACCACGACCACGACGACGACGTCCACGACCACGACCACGACGACGACCACGACCAAGACCACGACTACGACGACGACCACGACTACGACGACGACCACGACCACGACGACGACGACGACGACGACGACGACGACGACGACCACGACGACGACGACGATCCAGACTCAGGCCCCCACCCCTCTCCCGCCCGGCCCCGTGGGCCTCCGCGGTGGCTGCGCTGGCAGCGGGCAGCGCGCCTGCCTCGTTGGGCGGCGCGGCGGGCGGGGCGGGGCCCTTCGGCCGCCTCGCCCGGAAGCACCTGCGCGGGCTTCGTTCCCAACCGTCCTGTGGTGTTGGGTCCTCGTTTTGAAGAGACAGCGCCCCGCGCTCCTCCTTCTCCTTCTCCTCCTCCTCCTCCCATCCCTGCCCCTGCCCTCCGCAATTTCAGCGCACCCAATACAGCGTTTCGTGGCCTCATACGGGCGGCGGGCGACTAGTGAAAACGGCGGGTACCCTAGTGAAGGCGCGCGTCCTTACTAGGCGCGTTGACTGTGTTGTTGATCCTCCCCGCCCGGTGCCCATTGTGCTTCTCCCAGGGATCGCACCTTGTTCCCAACCATCCTGTGGTGTCGGGTCTTCGTTTTGAAAAGACAGCGCCCCGCGTTCTCCATTCTCCCTCTTCGCCTTCCTCCCACCCACCATCATCATCATCATCATCATCATCATCATCATCATCATCATCATCACCACCACCATCATCATCATCATCATCATCAGCATCATCATCATTGTCGTCGTCATCACCACCATCATCATCAGCATCATCATCATTGTCGTCGTCATCACCACCATCATCATCAGCATCATCACCACCATCATCAGCATCACCATCACCACCATCATCATCATCATCAGCATAAGCACCAGCATGATCACCACCACCACCACCACCCCCAACACAACCACAACCACCGCCATCATCATCATTATCATCATCAGCAGGAGCATCATCATTATCATCACCCGCATTAGCATCAGCATCAGCATCAGCACCATCATCATCATCATCATCATCATCATCATCATCATCATCATCATCATCAGCAGCAGCATCATCATCCTCATCGTTATCATCATCGTCATCACCATCGACGTAATCATCACCATCATCGTCATTATGATTGCTGGCAAACCCCTCGACACGTCTCGTAGACCCACAAGGGGCTCCATCGAAAGCTCCATTGGCACAGTTCGCATGTGCGCGTCACCCCCTGTTTCGGTACACCCCTGACAAATTTCTGGGCACATAGGGAGCTCCATCTAAAGCTCCTGTGGCGCAGTTCGCGAGTGGGCGTCACGCCCGTTTCGGCACAGCCCTCACACGTTCCGTGGCCCAACAGGAAGCTCCATTTAAGCCCATCGTGGCGCAGTTCGCATGTGGGCGTCACGCCCTTTTCGGCGCACTCCTCACACGCTTCGTGGCCCCATAGGGAGCTCCATCTAAGGCCCCCGTGGCGCAATTCGCATGTGGGCGTCGTGCTCGTTTCGGCACACCCTTCGCACGTTTCGCGGCCCCATAGGGGCTGCACCGAATGCCACTGTGGCGCAGTTCGCATGTGGGCGTCACGCCCCTTTCGGTGCACCCCTCACACGCTTCGTGGCCCCACAGGGAGCTCTACCTGAGGCCCCCGTGGCGCAGTTCGCATATGGGCGTCACGACCGTTTCGTCACTCTCCTCACACGCTTCGTGGCTCCATCGAGAGCTCTATCGAGTGCCTCCGTGGCGCAATCCGCATGTGGGCGGCGCTGCCGTTTCGGCACACTTCTCATACGTTTCGTGGCCCCATAGGAAGCTCCACCGAATGCCTCTGCGGCGCAATTCGCACGTGGGAGTCACACCAGTTTCGGCACACCGTCACACGTTTTGTGGCCCCATGGGAACCTTCACCGATTGCCTACGTGGCGCAGTTCGCATGCGGTTCCGCACCCATGTCAGCACACTGCTCACACACGCTTCGTGGCCCCATAGGAAGCTCCACCGAATGCCTCTGTGGAGCAGTTCGCAGGTAGACGTTAAGCCTCGCACCGCTGCCATGTAGCTTATAATTGCTTTTACATGCTTCAGCCGCAGATCTAACGTTACTGCCTCGTACCTGTTACGGGGAGTTTGTGGCGTCGGAAGTCTAGGAGTTAGGATGCTAGAGGCGGGGGAGGCCGCGCGAGTCGATCGCTGCGAGCGCGTTGACCACCAAAGCTAAGCCTCAGAGCTGAACGTGCCGACGCCTGGTTACGCATAGCAGTCATGTGTTCCTTATCTGTGAGTGCGGCCGTGCCACCGATGTATTTAAACCTGTAGAAGAGAGTGGAGGTACGGGAATCATAGTCGGGTTAGGACGTAGTCGTGGATTCGCGTGTATGTTGGGACGGGATGGGGCGATGGGGAATACCGTGCCTACGCCTGATAATTTGATACTCTTTGTTCTGCCGGGCTCTCCGCTTTTTTCCGTTTCTGTTTGCACGTCCTGTTCAGCTTGTTTCTGCACTCTGGCGGTTTTACAGCTTTTCTGCCGCCATTTGCCGCATGAGCGCTACAGCTCTGGTGCTAAAGTCCGCTTAACGTAAAAAAGGAGGAGGAGGCGAAGAGAGGAGCAGAGAGGAGGCGGAGGGCGAGGAGGAGGAGGAGGAGGAGCCGATCAGGAAGGGCCGCGGGCACCTCT